ATAAGGCCTCGTAAGGCAAGGAACCATTATATGTGTTAACTATTGCATGTGCAAAATATTGGCTTCAAAAGCAACCAATAAACAGAGTGGGTAAACAGAGAATGGTTGCTTCAAAGTCAAAATAAAGTTTTAGAAGTATAGTTATTTACTCAGTAGTTTTCATTTACTAGAACGCACTTGAAGTCAACCAACAGGGAAACAGGTTGAGTAATGCATATGCTTTGTTGAAGCAGCAAATACTCAAAGATGAGCTTTTTGAATTGTGAATTGTTTATTATTGCCTCTCTTATTCCAACAAGGAAGGAAAGGGTATTCCATGGACAAATGCATGTTTTTTTAAGTTACAAACGTAAAATAATTTTAACTAGCTTTAAAGGAAGACACATTTAATTGACTTATAGAGTTTATTTTCTGTGAGTTATGATTTTTCAATCTAAAGATAAATTTTACTTAACATTCAACTAGAAACCTGACTATTTCCTATACATGCACTTTTCTAAACTCAATTAAACTAAACTGTATAACAAACGACATGACTTCATGAAGCTTTTCCATCCTTATCTTTCAATATTCATGTAGTAATAATCACTATCACCGACTAATGGTATTTATGTTTCTCAACTTATTCGCCATTCAAAATCTTGCTGTGCGTATTGAGTAAGAATGATTTTTGAAGCTACTAACTGAAGGTACTACTAACTGATGTTTATTTTATGGGGATTTCATAAACCTCGTTTAAAGTCGGCTTTTAAAAAAATCCTATGGTCGTTCATATGAACTTGTCATCAAAAATAACCTATCGTTGGGTCATTTGGCTGACATGTTCATACGCACTAGGCCAGTTTTCAATTTGACTACGGACCGATACATCCTCCTGATCAAAACAAAGGACTCCAGTAGGGTGAAATAAAATACTAGTACAATGCCATTTAAAAAAAATAATAAAATTAAAGCAGGGATGGGGTCAATTAAATAGGAAAGTAATTAATTAAATGACAATTACTTTCCCAAAACCTTCAATTAAATTACCATTACCATTACATGGATTTTAAAATGTAATGAATTAAATTACAATTACTTTGCAAATGTAATTAATTAAATTACACATTACATTCAGCGTATAAATTATAAGGTAAATAGTCATGTACATTCCTTTATATTTATATTGGATTATTTTACAACATTTTTTTTACAACAATATTATTAAAATGTTCGTATAATTTTCAACTGGTGTGTTTTCTAACCTATATCTATTAGATTTGAAGATTTTCCTGCCACACTGAAGTTTTTTTCACTGGGGTATTTGTGACAGGAATACATAGATACTGACTAGTTGAAAGATTACTCATGGTTTTACCTTAATTCATATGTTGAAAAATTTGGAATCATGAAACATTAAATTTATGTTGAAAGTGCAATTGATGCTTTGGCATTAATACTTCCTCATTTCAACAACATATTAAGATATTCTCAAAATGTTGGTATTAGATTTATTCTGTGCCAAACAACAATTTAAAGTCAAAGTGTGTGTATAAAAATACCAAGAGATAAGATCAAACTGTGTGAAAAATATCTATTAAGGAATATGTACATGACCCGAGGGCACTAATTAGCACCTGATAACTTCTAACACAAGCTGAAGATATTGTAAATAAGAGGATTAGAAGCTATTGGACTACTTATTTTGATATGGATTAATTCATTAAAAAATCAAAATATTAATTTTTTTTTCTTCACTTTACAAAGATTAATTTGATTTAAAAGTTTTTAAGAAAATAAAATAGGGCAATGTTTAACCAGCAATTAAATTAAAAGGGAAATATGACTATTTTAAAATTCTTTTAAGAAATTCTACTATCGGAATATTTACTCAAAAAAATCAGTTAACCTTATGAGGGTGTCTTCTAGCTATTCCCACTTTTTAAAAATCTCAATTCCACCTATTCCCACTTGCAAATAACAATAGATGTTTAGATTTACCTGTATTTTGTACATTTTAAGTCAGAAAATAATGAATACATCTATGAGAAAATATGATTTATTTCGAATTTTTGAAATAATATAAAGATCTTACAAGGAAAAGCAACTTAATACCTAAATTTAAGAACATAGTTAATTATTTGTTTACACAAAATTCCACCTATTCCCACATAAAATCTTGCCTTTTTCTACATGATTTTCAAAAAGTGGGAATAGGTAGAATGAACCCCTTATGAGATGTGGGGGAGGGGGCATTTTTCATTTATTAAAAATCAGTGTAATTAAATTTAATTGAAAAGTAATTGTGAATTACATGCCTTTTTGGAAAGTAATTAATTAAATTACCATTACTTTTAATTGAAAATTTGGCCAATTACACATTACTTTCAATTACATGGAAATTTGTAATTAATTACAGTCAATTACCATTACACATTACCATTACACCATCCCTAAATTAAAGTTAGTTGCCAAGTTCAGATGTAAAAAACACCAAGGAAAGAAACTTTTACATTGTTAAAAAAGTCATCATTCGCAACCAAATTAATGATTACAAGTATACATGATTAAAGCTATGTATGGCGTATTTAAGTTAAAAAATAAAAAGACGAGATCAAGTGTTGATTTACATGATATTTGCTATATTTACGTTCATATTAAATTTTTTCCCGATTTTGAACTTAAATATCCCTACGTTTCCACAGTTAAATTAACTTTAAACTGTGTCTTGTATTTAATTCCGAGTCGGAAATAAATCGGTTATTGTTTAAAATTTCGGATATCTAAGAAAAGCGATTGATTTAAATTGTGTAATTTACAGGAAAGTCTTATCTTTATATTAAGTATCTAAACCAATAGAAAGATCTTTTTAATTTTAGTTAGTCTGTACTTATCAAAAATACGACATATATGACTTTAAACAATTCGAGTTGCAGATTATTTTTATCTTCTCTTTGAAACATTTATGTTTAATGACAGTTTCTTTTGTATGTGCCGAGACCATAATGTTATTTATATTTCAATATAAAACAATATTTTTAGAATAAACAAAGATTAAACAGATGATTTATATTTAGTAGAATTTTCTTATTAACATTATGAAATTTAAGAAACATATAACGTAACCAATAAAGTCTAAGCATATCAAATATGACGATTAGAATACATGCAGTCTTGGTATCTTTCATTGTAACGGATCTGTAATATAGGAAAGAAAGAGTCGCCCACTTGGCGAAGTGTTTTCAGCGTTTACAGTTAAGTTGAGGAATAATGGACGCGTATCAAAGGTTCAAATTCAGGTGGGTTCCTCCTGTATAATCCGAGGTGCCATTTCGTGCAGTAGGTGCTGGAAAGAAAATGATTCTTCCCTGATTGAAAGTCCTGAATGCCATGGAAAGGTTTACATTTGCAATTCTCCACCAGAAAATGATGGCGTCTCTTATGGATGAAAACTTTCGGAAGAGGCTTTAAACAAATTAACAACAAAACAACAAAGAAAGAGTATTAATATTTATAAACGTATCAACATACTTTTTTCACAATCTTATTAGAATCAAAGATCCAGTTTTAATGAGATTGATTTTTTTCACTACGACATTTAGCTGGGAAGTAGGACAGAATTGTAATCTCATTATTAATTTTTTAAAAAAGGAAAAAAAGGTGGGTTTAATGGTATTATCCAAGTTCATATATCCCTCTTTTATCCTTTCTTCTTCCAATAACTTTCCTTTATTTTGAACAATAGACTTTATTGGAATATGATTGCACGCACTGTTCTTATGTAGGAATGCAAAAGGTTTTTAAGATATTAGTTTTGAACAGCATTCGTCGTGCATGTATAAACTGGGTTGAAATTAACGATTTTAACGTTGTGGTGAAATCATCTACTGGAATTCAAATAACGATGTCCTGTACATGAAGCTGTGCAAATATTTTGTAATCCTGTTAAAGGATCCTGAGTTTTGAAACACGATGTTTTTCCATAAACTCAGTGTCACTACAATACTCTTACATTTTCCAAAGTAGACATAGCTTTCGAAGAATGATTGCATGACTGGGTCCTGTTGATATACAAGAAAGTTTTGAATTTCTCATTTTCCTCAGAGAGGCAAATTAGTAACAGGGGAGAAATTCATCACTTATCATCTTTACAGAGCTCCTCTTACTTACAGTAGTCAAACATACTTTTTCGAAATATGATTTTTGATTTTCGTTGTTAGAATTTTAAAGGAGACACCATTTAATTTATAAAATTAGAGATGCTAAATTTATTATACGAAATACGATTGAAATTGATCTTTAAATAACCGCTAGCCACGGACTCAAAAAAATCAATCTCATTAAAATTGGATCTTTAATCCGCACCACTTAGATCGCTACACAAAGCGATCAAACTGGAGCGGATCAAAGATCTAATTTTTATTAGATTGTGAAAAAAGTATGTTGATACGTTTAAAAATATTAATATCCTTTCTTTGTTGTTTCGTTGTTAATTTGTTTAAAGCCTCTTCGGAAAGTTTTCATCCATACGAAACGCCATCATTTTCTGGTGGAGAATTGCAAATGTAAACCTTTCCATGGCATTCAGGACTTTCAATCAGGGAAGAATCATTTTTTTTATAAATCTGTCCTTCTTCTTCCAAGCTAAATGTCGTAGTGAAAAATAGTACGTTGATACATATTGAAATATTGGCACACACTTAGAATAGATTTTTACTGTCAAATAAAATTTACTTCACTCTTTTTTCAGTAATGTTTTCTTTTGAAATTTAGACTGAAAAATAACTTTTAACATTTCCTAGGAACTATAAATCCATCTTCATATCTAAATTCTTAATATAATATATATTCTTAATAAGAGGAAGAACTCTGCAAAGCATTTTGACTAAATATATTCGCAATTCTTTAATTGCAGTTATTTCCCTTGCGTCGATGGCCCACTCTGTGTGCATTTTAAATGAACGTTATCAATTTCAGCAAATTCGAAATCATTGTTAAGATGATAAAACAAATTCCACAAAATAATTTCACTTTTTTTATTTTTCAGAGCAATTAACAGTTTTCTTATTTAACATACCATTTGCTTTTATTAGCAGAACTACATATACATTTTTGTATATAAAAAGAATACCCGAACACCCTTTTCAACTCAATGCAAAAATAATAATATACAGAAGATACAGTGTGTTATATATATTTATATATACTTAAACTTGATATCTTTTATTTAGTATTTTCATTTGGCGTTTTGTTTAAATCAAAGTAAATTTCGAGCCACTCAGAAAAATATTTTGTGTAATTGTTGGCAAAGTTTGCCTTTCTGAGTGTTATATTTGATTTCCTAGGAGAAAAGAAATAAAATAGTTTGATTTTTTATTATAAATACCTTTTATATGAATACTAATTTTGCATTTTTCTCCTTGTAATACTTTTCTTTTGTTAAAAATATGATAATAATTATTTTTTTCTGATTAGAAAATTTGAGATCCAGCTTCCCATACGAAAAAATATAAAAATTATAGAGAAAAAAATATAATTACACTTTCAGCTGTTTGCAAGTTACTTGTTGATAGAAGGCTTAATGCTGCCTTGAACACACAAACAACCACAAATAATCCATGATTCTTCAAAAACACTTACATTTTACATAGCACTTACATTTTATAAGTAAATTACAAAGAGATTCTGAATTAGATATATTCAAACAAATTGCATAAAATTGTTTGGATATTTTTTCCATTTCTATCATAAAAAAATTCAGTTATCCATGGGGTCTTATGGAAAACTTTCCATTTATAACAGCAAAGTAGTACTTCTCAGATAAGTTCATGCTATTTGCTCCATAAAAATTATTTAAAAGCAACTTCATACATAATGAAATTATACTGAAATGCCTTATAATTAAATCTCAGGTTTACATTATGTTATAAACAGGCTTTTTCCATTATAACACTATTATTAAAATAAATCAAAACTGCACTATTCATGTATATATACATGTTTTGTAATCAATTTTCGAAACATTATCAGTTGGAAATCTTTTGAAAAATGATATTTAAATTTATTAATTGCAATAGAAGTAAACCATTCCTGAATTGGAATAAAAACAATTTACAGTTCTATATATCAGTAGATAGTCTTGATTATAAGTTCATAAACAATACTAGCACTTGATTACAAAAACATGATTGCGTATAAGACCCAATACAAGAAGCCAAAACACTAAAAATAAAATAAATTGAGCCGCCGTTGTTGAAAATACTGTATTATATAGTTCAAATTCATATACCTGTACATGTATCATGAGGTTCATTTTCAAAAATATTATAAAAAAAACTGACTGCATCGCACAAAAATGATTGATTCAGAACCAAAGGTAATATATATTCCAGATAACTCAAATCCATAAAAAAATAAAACACACAAAAGGAAAACTGATAATGGTATAATTATTGAACACATGATTAAAGAAAATATTCATATATAAGGTATAAGATTGTCTCAAGTTGCAATCATTTCTAAAATAATCTTGCTTGTACAAAAAATTTGATGAGGATTCTTGAAAAGCATACTTATGTTTAATAACATTTGCATTAATATCTAAATATAAATCATTTTACAATCATGTACTTATCTGCAAAAGAAAACCAATGATTATCTTATCTGTTAAGAAATGTCAATTTCGGAGGTAGAGCACCAAATAATGCGTTTTAATTTGAAAAGCACTAGCCTTCATATTTTCATGTTCTAGCTAGGAATATAATGCATATCATAAACGTAGAAAACAAATACACGATATTTGTTGTACATTATCACAAGTTTTGAGTGAAGCGTGTCTTTTTTCATGAAATGAGGTAATTCAAACAAATTTATTCATGAAGGTTAAGATAATTCATGACATTAATTTCTTTCCGATGAATAGCATGATATTTTTTGTACATATTTAATGAATTTACACGTTTTGTCAACCTAAATTTAATAACATCAGTATATATCCGAAGCCAGGTCTATAGTTATCTTTGTTTTTACACCTTTTTCAATCTTAACCTGACAATATCTGTAGATCCGCGCCGCGTTTTCGGTTTTTCTACCGGAATTTCATCTTCGTCGTCGTCATTAGCCGCCTGAATTAGCTGGAACTTGGTCCTGTTGGTACTGTGTTCGAAACAGCCGAAGATGAATCGGCCGGGCCCATGGGGGGTTTTGCCGAGGAGAAAGTTGGCGAAAATCTGCTCGTAGCTGGCTAGATTTAGCGGGTACCTTCCAAACTAAAAGGTAGAAAACAATTAAATATATTGCATTGATTCACATCAACGACATTTACTAAACTGAGACAAAAAAAAAAAACAAATTAGTATTTATATAACATAGATCCCCCATCAAAAGAGTTGTTAATTGAATCAAATTTTACAAATTCTGAATTCACAACTTGTTAAATTTTATATACGTTTTTATGGTTTGTTTATAAAATAACCAAAGTGAAAACATTTTATCAGAGAGTTTTTCTCCTGCAAAACCTGCATAGAAATAGAGATATATATTTTGAGCTCACTTAGATTGGCTTAACAGAAACAATATCCCTTATACTGCACCTTGGTCGTACAATTACTAAGTACAGTACTAAATCTGCAGTCCCTTTCAGGCAAATGTTGATTTCTCAACATCAGTCAAAATATTGAAGAAGGGTCACAGAATATAAACAATTGGAGAAAAGAGACTTACATCTGTCATGAGTTCGTATGCCTTCTTGGCCACCTTTTTGGCTTCGGAGTCTTCGAGTTGAACAAAATTGGAGTAGAAGTCTGTCAACTCTTCTTCTTTAATTAGTCCGTCCTCTGGAAGGAGAATTTATGTTGCCTGCATGCAGTCTTTCACCAGAGGGCGCGCTCTACAAGCCGGAGCGGAGCTTGATACGCCCTCTGGTGAGAGATTGACCTGCATGATCATTCTAATCTGTAATCTTAACAAGCATATAGTGGAATTTTTTAATTTTTATGAGGGAAATCTTTTAAACCCTCTCTCCCAGTTTTCCATTTCTGATCTTCTTTTCTTTAACTGATACCCTCTCCCAATTCTGCTTTTGATCTTCATGTTTTGAAAAAAAAAATACACGAGATGTTGTTATTACGACTTCCTAAAACTTTCTAAGTAAGACTAATGATTTGATAATTTTTTTTTTATTTACTCAACTTGCGACTTTTTAAACTCTTCTTGTTGATGATCTCTTTATTGTGCACTAACATTTTCAATCTCACAACATTAATGCTCTCCCAATTTGAGACTTGAGAATTTTTTATGTGCCTTTTAATCCCCCTTGAACACTTACAATTTCTTGAGATCAGACTTGTAATTTACAATGTTATCCCGAGTTTAGACGTATGATCTCTTTATTGCACACTTAAGTCCACCTTTTGTTGACTTATGATCTCCAAAAAGGACTTTAATCTCTTATGATTGCTCTCCTTTAGTTAAACTTCGAAATTCCTGTTTAAGACGTTAGACATACTACTTTCAAGAGTAGACTTGCAATTTTTTTATAATCTCCTCTAGTTTGAATTGCAATCTTTTATGATCATTCTGTTTAGGATCACTCTGTTTATCACTAATTACAATCTCTTGGGATTAGACTAACCATCTTTTATGATCTCTTTTGATAATAATTTCAATCTCTTATGATCTATTTGTTTGAGATCTCTCTGTAAAGCTCTAGCTACGATCTCCCAAAAATAAATGTAAGATGTATACGAATTGCTTTAGATAAGACTTACGATCTTTTATAATCTCCTCTGGTTCGATTTGCAATCTCTTGTGATCTTTCTGTTTACAATCACTCTGCTGAACACTTATTCCAGTTATACTTGCAATCTCTTTAATCCTGAACAGTTTTTATGTTTATGCCACACAGGTCACCCTGCAAAACACTAGTTACAATCTCTCGCGAGAAAACTTACGATCTCTATCTTTAATCCTGAACAGTGACCTGGGTAGAAGTCTCAGCCACACAGGGAAGTTCTGCATCCCCATACTGCCGTGTATCAGCTTAGCCCACAACTTATACCAGTCATCCAAAGTCACCTTCTCTGCGGGCAAAAAGAAAGAAATAATCAATATGACAAAAATCTGTACTCGTATCCAAATACCTAGGGAAATCAGCGGTCATGAGTTACTTATTTCCTTTAGGCCTGGTGTGTAAAATGTTACATCCATTTTGATCTCAACAATCACTTTTCCACTATTCAAATTCCTTTGAAAAATGAATTTTTATCAAAAGTGAGCCCACAAAGTTTTGTGATTTTCATAAAACATGACGAAAGTATCTATGTTGAAGTATGATCTGTCGACCTGATCAATTTATAGGGCTTACAAAGGATGAGACCGGTCAAAAGTGAGGACGTTCACTTTATGGGGGCACCTAATCCCACCTTTAGAAATAACAGGCGTTTGTGTTCAAGCCTTCTTCAAACTTTTATATTGTTTATGGACTTGTTCAGATCAATCAATGTTCCTTTTTTCGAACCTTTCCACTACAATTATACTATTTTTAGGTTAATACATGTAGATTAGCATATTCCGAAATATGCAAACAAGCTCTAAATTGGGGAGAGATTTTTTTTCTTTTCATCCAGGATCTTATAATGTCTCAACATGCCTCATACAATAGGCATGTACATCTTAGTTAACTGTGCACATGTATGCAAATATAAATATGCATAATTTATATATTACGAAGGCATGAGGCATAGGAAGCATGTGTCAAGGCTTTTAACTCAACGCATATATGAGGAAAGCACCAAAACAAGAAAAAACATTGTACCAAATACAACAAAACACAAGTGTTTGTTTGATGACACTTTTTTCCTTATCACAGAGAAATATTGGGGGACTAGTACACACTACCCATCATAAAAAAGGTATTTCTTGTGTTAGGAAAAAATATACCTTAAAACCTGTCTAATGCAGCATACACAAGGATACACATTTCTTATATATAGAGTGTCGCTTTGTAGAACTGCTTGTGAAAGCAACATGAAAAGTAGAAATTGGAATGAAAACAAGCTTCAGAATTAGCAGGGAAGCGAATTGCACAGGTAGTAGATTAGACATTTTTCACTGTTTTCAAGAGCACAAGGTTTTTGAAGTGGAATTGAAAATTTGAAGAAGAAAAAATCACTGTAAAAAAAATCATTAGAACTTATAGGGATGCGAATTGACATGTATTGGATAAGACAGTTTTCACTGTATGTATAAGTTCAAAGGCACAAGGTTTTTGTAGTGAAAAAATTGAGAATTTTCACTACAAAAGGTCGCGTTTACGTGGTTTTGGTAGCCGATTATTAAGTTAGATAGGCATCTTTAATATAACTTTGGAAAAATCACATATTTTCGAGGGATCAAATTTTCGTTGTATGAGGAAAATATACTGCTTCTTTGGGACTTGATTTTGTGGTTGAAGAATTGTTCAGTAGTAATATATTTTTTTTAAAAATTGCATTTCGCGGTGGACATAAATTCGAGGCTCTCTTCATACATTGAAAACCATGAAAACTAAACCCACACGAAAATTAGTGATTTCCCAGTATTTATTTTAGACGTACTGTGTGCCGTCTTCTCCATCAAGATCTCAAAGAAAGCCTCGTGGACGCCATAAATCTCGTGGTAGGCGGGAGAGTTCGTCTTCCATCCGGTGTAATCCACTATCTTCTACAATAAGGGAGACAATCAAGCGTTAGCAATAAGCCATGCGGAGAGGTAAACTACCTTAATGTTTTAAAAAGAAATTATGTATGATAATCACCGGAGAGTGGTTTAAATTGTTAGCTGTTTTATTGCGTGTCCTCTGATTCCCCCCTTCTTTTCACATAAAATTTGACTTTTGGCCCTCGGCATGGTTAGGTTATAAAATGAGTTATTTATGAATTTGATGTATATGATGTGATATTTTGATATATACATGTCCATAAACACATGTTTTACTGCGGAGAAAGAAATTTCCCCTTGTTTATTTTAAAAGCCATGTATCCCCATCATGCATGTTTTAAAATTATTCCGTGCGCGGATCTAGCGGGGGTGTCAGGTGGCCCGTGTCCTACATGGGATTTACAGTCTGCAAATTTATTATTTTGTAAAATGAAGAATATTGAACTTCCGTGAAATACCCCTTACAAAAAATTTAAAATTAAAGTTTTGTAAAACTTTATAAATTGCATAACCCAACCTTTAAACGCAAAAAAAGTCATAACCATAGGAAATTTTGTGTCAATGCTTTAACAAGATGAGAAAGCACAAAAAGGAATACTGTACCCTATCCAACAAAAAACAAGTGTTAAAATGTTTTTTTAATAAGTTTTATAACAATTTTCAATCTGAAGTTGAAAATGAATACATTACAAATCATGTACTCATTATCAAATTCAGATTGAAAATTAATGAATACTCGTATTATGATAACATGTATGTCTGAAATAATATTTTCATATTAATCAATCAACTCTACTGTTTTAATGTGTTCTTACTTTCATAAATCCATCAAGATCAGCAAATTCTATATACTTGTCACCATTGGCGTCTGTAAGATAAAACAGTGCAAACATTTGTTTCTGAATAAAAGAAAAAGTAGTGTCCTAACCCATTTCCCAGTCCAAACAAAACTCGCATACATCGTAACACGTTTCAGAGGCCGTATAAATTTAATCAACCAAAAAATTATTTTTTTAGTTCTATATATGTGTTAAGACTCACTCAAATAGAAATATTATCAATATTGTATAATTATGTGTGTAATCGGCTAATATAAATATTAATATTTCTCCTTTAATAGTTATCGATGCTTCAAACAAATTGTTATTATTAATATTAATATTAAGAGGGTAAATTCAGTGACAAATGAACATTAATTTATCATGAATTAGTGAGAGACATGTTCCACTCCAAACATCTTACATCTTAATAACTATTGATGAAAATTATTTCTGATTTTTATAAAAAATGTAAAATCAATACACAAATCGCAATTTCTCAATAAAAAAAAATGTCACTGACAGGGGGCAGCATTTAAAGGTTGACGATATTTTGTGCTGACGTTTCTTAGATGCAGGTGTACAAAGTTCTTGATAACCATGATAACGGTGCAACAACTCGCAGAGCAAACATAATTTGTCCTTCAATCTCACAATAGGACAACGATAAGGAAAGGTCAAGGACAAAAACCATACATATGCAAGCTACAAATGACGTATTCTAAAACCATCGATAAACTCTTTGCAATTCAGGTTCGGAGGGATAAAAAATGGGTTGTTATGAACTACACTTGGAAAATGTCATGTATAGAGATTAATATCCAAACACTCCACCATTCTGACATATCCCCCCCCCCCCCGGCCAAGTTCCTCACCCTTACAACCCTCTAATAAAAATATTTTTATAATATTAATTATTATTTTTCTTATGCTTGTATATTTTCAATAGACTTACATAGGTAATAAAAAAAATCATTATTTATCCTTTTTGTTGTCGTCTTTTATATTTTTTCTTTCTCTACAACTTGTGATTATTGATTTCGGAAAAAAGATCACTTCGTTTTATGCAGGGTTATGCGTGCTTGTCAATACTGATGAAACAAAAAGCAAAAAACATTTTCTCTCTCATAAAATGTATGTTACTTGTAAACGTACTTTATATATGGACAGCTGGAAATAGAATTCATAAAAACTAGACGTGAACTACATACATGTAATTCTTAATTTTTTGTCAGCCTATAAGTATATCTTACACCACAAAGTAAGATTTATTATCTGCGTATTCTACAAAAGTTTGTCATATAAAATGCGAGTTATATTAATTCAAGATAAGCCATGTTTGTCGATATATTAAAAATTAATGTGTATATAATACAATAGTACTACTTACCGAAAAAGTTGAAGAAATACTCCAGTTTTTCTTTCTGAAATGGTGATAGTAGGGCCATCTTTCCTACAATAGATTGAATGAATGAGTACACTTGCACCGGATGAAGATAATTTCAAGGCCAAAATCTCTAAATAGAACAAAAAAATCTGCGTCGTTTATTTTTTTTATGTCTCATATTTATGCATGCTACAGTGTATTTATAAATGTGGGTGTTACAATTATAATTGATAGACATTGGTGGATCTAAAAAAAATAATTTACGCGAATTTTATTTTGATAGAGGTTTAGAAATCTATTTGCATGTAACTATAACTAACTTTTGATGTATTTGATTCATAAATGAATATATGTACATAGATAAGATAAGATAATTTTATTTCCAATTTTGGGCCCAGAAGGCATAAAGGTTTTTTATAGAAAGTTTAAAAGAAAGGTTATAGTAAACATATACAAACATAAACACACATACACACACATGTATATATCTGATATAATATTACAATAACTGGACATTAGATGCAGCAGTTGGGGTTATCAAATTGTTAATTAACATGCAATCAAAATATATATTATCAAATACATATATACCAGTTTACAAATAAATTTTAATAACTTTTGATGTGTGCCTTATTTTGCAGGCTTTGACAAGATATTCACTTAGCTTTGTAATAATTAGATTATCTTCATTAGACATTAACCAGAGAAATTTGTCTCCTTTTGATAATAATATGAAATATAATACATATATATGAGTATATAATGGGCATTCAGTAAGAAAATGAAAATTGTTTTGGTTACACATTAAACATATTCTTTTGTTTCTATCTAAGGTGATTCTTTGACCAGCATTATTTTTTACAGATTCATATCTGCCTTTTTCAATTCTTAGGTCATTTTAAATCTGCAAATGGATTTTCTTATTTCATGAGATTTAATGTACATATATTTTTCCATTATAAAATTTTCTTTAAACATAAAATAAGTAGTAAGTTTTTTTTTTCCTCTGTGTTTCATTTTCCAATATTGTAGGAAGTGTTTTTTCAAATGTACATATTTCCGAAGTGGAAAAAATTAATCAGGTTTTAAATTGTCCTAACCTAATGACGAAAGATGAATTGTGGGACAAATTTTTCTTTTTGCTCTGTATTTAGCAGAACTAAATCTCTGGTAGTGTCATTGTTAAATTTGTTGCAAGGATCTTCGCCTTGGTTTTATGACAGTCAAAAGGTGAAGAGGAACATTAAACCAAGATCAAGACATCGTGTGTTATGAGGGGTGGATGACGTTAAAAAAGGGGTAGTTATTGCTCAAGCCTAGATGATTTTTATCGTATGATAGAGAGAAAGAAAGAGAGAGAATTTGATGGTGACGGAGATATCAATTCTATCTTTATCCCTTAATGAACAGAATGTTTCATGTAAAGTTACAATATAGTTAATACGTATACATTTACTTTTTATTATGTCCTTTACTTGCGTTTTCAACGTATTTATTTAGCATAATTATTTAGCATAAACATGATAAAAGGATACAAAAAATATTAACATAGGTGGTCAGATCTCAAGGTCGCTATTGTCTGAAATAGCTGAACCATGTAAAACTGACTACATAAAAATTTACCAGCGCAGAACCAGTAGTGTGTGAGAGAGAGAGAGAGAGAATCAAAAGAAAGAAAAGCACGAGTTACATGTAACGTTTGTATAAAACATGCGCATGTAACATGCAGGCTCGCTGCATATTGCACAATTTATTAATGAAACTGCAATTAATTTTGTTATGCATTATGAGTGCCAAATTTTATGATAATATGTTTTGAAGAAAAAATGATAAATATTCTATTATTTCAGAGTTCCTGCCTGAAAAAATGTTATATGTAAACGACCGGCCGGTGAAGAAGGGGGAGGGGGTGGTTATAAAGTTTTGCCAAGTGACTCTTTGGAAATGAATCTTCGATTAGAACTCATACATGTAAGGCAATCCAGAGCTGGGGGCCAGTATATTCAATTTTTAGAGTGATTAGGAACTTGTTTACTCTATAGCGGTTTATACTCGATATAAAAAGGTCGACTCCATTAGCCACCGGCGGACAATAGTGTCTATCAAACGCATGGTGGGAAATCTAGGGCAGGTTTGATTGTCCGTTCAGATATGACCTTTAACACGTAAACATGTTTATGTGGTCAATGGGGGTTATTCTAAAGTACACAGAAAAATAAAGAATGGTTTAGCTGAAACAAGTCAGTTGAGTTAGGATAAAATTCAGGAGCCTGAATTTCTTGGATCCGCTCCATGCAGATTTATATCATCTGCGTTTTCTCTTGAGTTCAAGGCTTCATGTTTTAGTCTAATTCATCATCTTCAGATTGATTTGTCAGAATGTATACATCAGTAAATAAAGGAACGATATAAAGTCATATATAGTTTTCTTCTTTTCTCAATTTTCCTTTAGAAGTAATCTCTCGGGGTTCTTTTTAATTTCATTATTATTTCAATATTACAAGGCCAATATAAAATTGCGCCATAGATTTTTGAAGTACATTTGCAAAAAATTGATCGTTACAGTCATGAATCTACTTAAAACATAGCTTTGTGTTGTGCTCTCTGCTCTGGTCAAGGGTTTTCAATCATTTTGATCATGTTGATGTCCAAAACAAATAAATGTTTTGTCGTATTACGTCAGGATGCAATGCCAATATACACCGAGATTCAATACTGATTGCACGAAGGCGCCGCATGTAACGCCAACAGCTTAAATAATAGACAATGCACAGCTGATTCACATGTGTTTACAAAACACAAGAAGGAAATCTAAATGACAACAAAGCATTAACAGATCACATATGGATATGCAATGTAAAAATTTGTTTAGCATTTTAAAAAAAAATTATGAGTTAGAAATTAAAAGTAAAACTTACCAAAAACTTTCCGTGTGCTTAGAAGCTTTATCGCAGATCAAAACATCAAGTCAACTGAAAATACTGGCCGGACCGTTAGAAAATAGGTCAGTCACGTGTCACTGTGCGTTGATCAAGGAGTGGATCTAAGAGTTTCGCCTCTTGTCCACTATTCGATGAATTTTCTCTCTCTCTCTTTCTCTCTCTCTCATTAAAATCAGGTGCGGATCTAGAAGGGGGCGGGGTCCCCCTGATTTTACAGAGTTTTCAAATGTATACACTAAACCAAGTAGAAGCGACCTTTGACCCCCCTCTATACCCCCCCCCCCCGAAAACTCAGACACCTCCTCGAAAACGAGGATCTTTGTGAAATTGATATGAAATGTCACAAGTTTGAAGCTTTAAACAGAAGTGAACGACATCCCCCGCCACCGTGCGACGTAGTATTTTCACGTTTTGGGGAAATGAGTTTACGATTTTTTTTCTCTTTGCTGTAAAGAAATATCTCGGTTGTTAATATTTTATGTGGGTGGAACCCCCCCCCCCCCTCCCCGGAAAAAACTCCTGGATTCGCGCCTGGAATTGGAACTAAACGTGGTTCTGCTTTCTGTAGTAATTACATACATGTGTAATTACGATAATTTTTTACGACCCTTAGTTACACCTTCACTTCTTCGGACATATTGACATTTTACGCTACATTTGATAGACTTGTTTCAGACCTTGATATATTGATTAATTAATTAATTGATTTAATTAAAACATCAATCAAAACTTCGGCAAACTACAACGTCTAGATATATTTTCAAACATGAATGCCAGAGTTATCTTTCTTTTATCAGATTGATACACGTGCACTCCAGTATAAAATAACAGCTAAAGAATTCGTTTACTTTGGTAACTTTAATATAAATAGTTTCTTTTTCTAAAGATCGTACATGTACATGAAAACATGTGCGAAACTAGATGTACTGTGAGCATTGAGCTCACTAAATGATACCCCTAACTCCTTTATGGTTATTTGCAAAGTCCATGATTTGCCATGGAAAACCCAAAATATGTGTCCGATCAAAAAGTAAAATAGGAGGTGCACAATGGCAATATGTAAAAAAGGAACCTGTAAAAGTTTCATTAAATTTCAATCAGTGGTATTAGAGGAGTTTCGGATAAGAGTTGGGATACCCCAAAACTAGCGTAACAGATATAGACGGACGGACGGACATCCCGATCACCTTTATACCCCCTGCTTTCCAAATAGGTGGTATAATAACTTATTTGATTTTACCAAAATTTCGTCAAGGAACAATTTAATTATAGGATGAGACACAAGAATTCGAGTGAAACATAAAGTCCATGTATACATAAAAGATTAATTTAAACGACAGTTAGAGGTTGGATTTAAGCATTTACTTAGCAGTGGAGTTGCCACCTTCAAATTGTTGAATTTATTTTATTGCAAAAATTTTTTAGCACGCGGTATGATCAGAAATAAAATGTGAAGATGTCAGACGAATAGTATTCAGTTTCTTTATTTCTTTAAGCCAACTGGCCCATCAGAGTTATACAACAAACATGATAATAACAAAAAGAAAAAAACATACAGAGAGAGTGAACGTAAAGAACACATACATGGGAATAATTCTATACATCAATTTTATTTTTTCTTAACATTGTTGCTGCGTTCAAAAATTTGCCCAAATTTACGAGATCTTTAATATTATGAGAACTTAACAGCTGAATTAATTTAAAGACACTAGGCCTAGTATAATAATACTTTTTCAAAAATTTCTTTCTTATATCAATATACAATGGACATTTCAAAATAAAATGAAATTCATCTTCTATATCATGGAGATTACAACATGTACATAATCTATTATTTTTAGGTACGTTATGGTGTCGACCTGTTTCAATATTCAACGTGTGATTAGATAACCTGAATTTTGTTAATAGCTGTCTTAATTTTTTGTCAATAGGTTTTGTTAAATACCATTGCAAACAGAAATTGTCAATTAAATGTTGATATAAATTACACTTTGAAGAGTTTGTTATATTTTCTAATATAGCTTGCCTAGAAACATCTAACAGTCGTTGTTTTATAATAAGATAAGATCTATCATTTAAATTATCTTCTGTCCAAAGTTGACCTAGACCTAAGAGGGACAATTCTTTTTTAATTTGTAAAATCCATTTGTCATTATGTAATACCATGCTTTCATAACAGGACTTAAGAATGCAATTTTCAGTTGTTCTCAGTTTGATCCAATATTTGAAAATTCTTAATTTCATTGTAACTGCTAATGGAAAACGCCCGAGCTCTGAATAAATCAAACTGTTTGAAGTTTTCTTCCCCACACCTAGAGTATTTTTACAGAAATTTAAATGTACCTTTTCTACGTCAGAACATCTATGAAAACCCCATATCTCAGTTCCATAAAGTAATACGCTACATACATATGTATCAAAAATTGAACATAGAGTTTCTACATTAAATTCATACCTCTTTAATTTACTTGAAATAGCAAACATAGCTTTTCTTCCTTGTTCAGCAGCATGCTTCTGCGTTTTTAAAAATTTCCCATTAAAGTTAAATAAAATACCTAAATATTTAAATTCATTCACAATTTCTAATTCAGCATTATTATAGAACCAGGATTCGTTATTACGTAATTTACCACCATTTCTAAAGACAACAATCTTTGTTTTTGTTACATTAACAGAAAGGCTCCATTCTTCAGTATAATTGTATAGTGTGTTTAACATTTTTTGTAAGCCTTCTGGAGATTCAGCAAAAATAACCATGTCGTCTGCATACATAAGTATGAATAAATTTAACATCTGTAAATCAATATATGGACAGTTATCTGATATAAAACCAACCTCGAAATCATTTACATATAATGAAAATAATATTGGTATGTTTCCCCTTGCATTAAACCTATATCATTGTGGAAGTAATCACTGAGGAAACCATTGTATTTAACACAACTTTTAACATTATTGTATAGGGATTTGATTACCTTTAACATTTTACCTTGGATGCCTAAATGGAATAATTTTTGCCATAATTTTATCCTATCAACAGAATCGAATGCTTTTTGAAAGTCAACAAAACAGCAATATAATCTTTTCTTATTAGAAAGGTACTTATTTATAAGCGATTGCAGAACAAAAATAGCATCAGTTGTTGACATTCCTTTACGAAACCCAAATTGTGCATCCGTCAATATATCATAGGAGTGCTCCCATTCCAGTATCCTATTGTTTAGAACACTTGTAAATAATTTACCAAAACAGCTTACAATAGATATACCACGATAATTGTTCACATCATTCTTATCTCCTTTTTTAAACAATGGAGTAATGAAACATTTTGACCATGATTCAGGGTAAAAACCAGAGTTAAAAATATTATTAAAGAGTTTATGTAGCAGCGGGAGCAATTCGTCGCGGCATTTCATAAACAGTTCGTTAACATTGTGACACGATAGCGGTGTTTTTCTTTGAAGTTTACTGTTCTGTATTAGCAATACAGAACGGGACTATGGTGGGCGGAGCTACTTTCCGTTCTGTATTAACCTGTATACCGTATTGTATTTCCCAACTATTCTGTATCTAAAATACAGCACAGTCTAAAAATAAATTTGATTCAATTTCAGTATTTTAATTGCTCAAAAATTTTCAAAATGACAAAATCAATTGATCATATATTTTTTCCTGCTTGGAATTAAACAAAATCATTTCCTGAAAAAAGCAAAACCTTTACTCTTTTGAATTTAAGATAATTATTCCATTCACATTTGGCCAGTCACTTTTCATCCAAACGAAACGAATTTTAAAAAAATGCTTTCCAATACATTGTATAACACTTCTCTATGCACTATTCACTTTTACTGATGCACAAAATCACACATAGTCAATTAATTTGATCCAAAAGAAAAATTGAAATTGCAATTTTGGAACACCGATGCCGTGTTTGTTAAATCCCGCAGAGCACGATTACTTTCACTGCACAATTTTTTTGCGTCGCCTTCAGAACGACCTGTATTACATGGAGACAGCGCTCTTTTACTACCAGTAGGCTGATCGGAAGACGCTTCCTGAGATTCCTGTTTTGTGGGCGGATCCAAGATTTTAGAAATGCTCTTTTTCATTTGTACATTGCTTTTCATGTATTTTCTTACGCCTTTCTCTGATCTATGACCAGTAACATTCATGATTTCTGCCTCGGGTACACCTCCTATGTACAGCTGCGTAGCACACGTTTTCTTTCCGCTGTGATTGGTATAATTCCCTTGTAGTCCTCCTTTTTGCGATATTGTCTTCATAAACGTTTTCAGTTTGTTTATGCCCACAACCTGTGTCCCGTAACGCACAGGCTTTTCGGAGGTTCCGGGAAGCGGGCGCCGATAAAATGGTCCCGTGCCATCTAACGCATCAAGGTATATCTGAAAATATTCTGCTAAGCACCGATCACCTGTAAATTATATGAGTAATTAGATAATCACCGCTTACATCTATAAGTCTTAAAATATCCACATAAATATTACAATCTTTTACATGCAGGTCTCATACATAACTATTGACCAAAAAGGCTCATACAGTAATCCCCCCCCCCATTTCGTTAAACCTTAATTCAAAATTTTAAATTAGTGTCTTAATGTATCCATATAAGTTATTATGAGTTTTACTTACCAGGCTCACAGTAATGCTTCAGATTCTTTGTCTGTAAATTCATCTGACCCAAACCGCCCTTGTAGGTTTTTGATGTTCTACCAACAAATTGAATAAACTGTCCATGGGTATCGTTTCCAATGGAAAATTGTTCACATTGCAATTTGTGGTGCTCATCGCAGGCCCTCAAACCAAACAATTTACATGAATAAAAAAACATCGTGTGTTGTAATTGTTCACCGTTTTCTTTCCCAAAAACATTTTCTCGCCACAATTTCTCCTCATCTTCAGGCCATATAGGATCAGCTTGGCGGATCTCGCATCCCACGCCTCTATCCACGAGCGATTTCATTTTCGCGTCTAAAACTTTTCTTAGCCCGACAAAAGATAGTTCCTTCTCATCTAGAAAATTTTTATCGTACACACCTTTTTGTCTCAAGTGCCTCAATAGTCCACATAAAATGAGATAGAG